AGGACAATAGGAATAAACCTTGTACATAAAATATGACACCTACAAGGTGTAGTTTGTGAAGGAAAAATAATTTTGCCTCAAAGTAAAACATCTGGTCCTTCGAGATTGAGGAAGGAATATATAGTACCAATCTCAGTAGACTTAGGTTCATAGAATAGGAATCTTGTGTTATATAGTCAATGCTTGCTATGGACTTACTTGTAAGCTCCTTAATAGTGTGTTTTAGCTCAAACAGAATCCTAATGAGAAATTAGTTGAAAAGTTTTTTTTTAAATTACAAAATATTCTTGTATCACAATCTGTTCTTTATAAATTAAAAAAAAAGCTAAGCTTGGTCACACAGGTGTGTAATTCCTGCTGCCTGACAAATACAAGGTAAACCTGAACAACTTAGTGAGGCTCTATTATGATACAAATATTAAGTGAGGCTTAGATATACAGCTCTGTGGTAGATAGTTGCCCTCATATGCATATTGTGTTAGGTTCAATCTACTACAAAATCCTGTGTGTATTCATGGTATACAGCAGGATTTCCTGTATCTCCTTTGTTGGTATATCTTTAGTTTCATAAACTAGCTTTACAAAGTTGCTCACGGGGAGCCCAGGCTTCCCTAGAACGAAATAGAGACTGACATACTGCTGTACCCTCAGTTTCTTCTTTACCATAAATCTCATTTCTTGTTTTTGAAAAACATTTCATCCAGCCATCCTTCTATTATGCAGCCCTTTTCTGCCTATTAAAAATACAATATACTCTTTTCTGACTCGGGAATATCTGCTCTGAGGACCCTCTTGACTCATCATTTGAAGGATAATCATCAGGGAAATTAGTGCCCTGATGTTCAAGTTTGTTGAAAGACAGGAATTGACTTTAAAACACACAACTGGGAAACACAGATGGCCTAAATACTTTCAGTTGTCACCTGTTGAAACCCTCATGTATTTTTCTACTAACTCATCTTGTACTTAGAAGGCTCCATTTATTTTTGTTTGTTTATTTTGTGGTGTTTGGTTTGGGTGTGTTTGGGTTTTTTTTTGTTTGTTGGTTGGTTGTTTGATTTTCTTTTTGAGACAGGCTCTCAGGTTACCTATGCTGGCCTCAAACTCACTATATAGTTGATAATGGTTTTGAAATCTAATGTCTTCTCTGTCTACCTCCTCAAATCTGGAATTACTAGCATTGGCCTGGTTTATGCAGTGCTTCATGTGTGCAAGACAAGACAGCTGAGCCACATCTCAACCATCTCTTGTCTTGTTTGAATAGAATTGTGTTCGTTTTCTTACTGCCATTGCACAAATGCCAAAATAAAGTCTCTCTTACCTGTTAAATCATCCACTATTATCTTTCCCTGACAATACTCACTGCTATATGAATGCATGATTCAGTTATTTAGTTACTGTAGTGGTCAGCTATTAGAATTCTGTTATATATCTGTGAATTTGACATTATAGACATTGGAATTTCTAACATGGTTAGGAAGAGCCAGCATGTTGGGTTTATTTATAGACCACAGAAGAAAAGCCATTCTTGAGCAAGGAAACAGCGCCTCTGTCATCAATATGGAAATAGCCCATTTAGTAAGCTTTAACTGAGAGAATTAAGTATTTCCTGTACCTGCTATTTCAATAAAAAGTTTAGAAAGCAGTAGTTAGACTATTATATGTCAGATAAACAGTCTACTTCCAGCTCATTATTGAGAGCTTTCATTAAAGATTAAAAGCATAAGACCCTTTATAGAAATTCTAAACTGGTCCCTGGATCTTAGCATTCAATTATCATTTGTGAAATTTGAAATCAACATAGTTTATGTCTAAATTGAGAGTACATTTGAAAATCAAAATTCAAAGGCATGCCTTCTAGTGGGCTGACTGATGGGAGAGGGCTGTGATTATGCCTCATTTTCACCCTCTACATCACGATCTCATTGATTATGTTTCTCAGCTTGCTAAGGGTTCTGCGAGGTGATTTTCAAGATGAATATTGCTATTTGCAGGATTTCCTGAATAGGAATATTTCGGGAGTAAATTGCACAAACCAAGTGATGTGCAGTCAATTTTCACACCAGCATAAACAATGTATTAGAACAGAGCCCTTAAGGATTTTCTTTTCTTTTCTCTTCTTTTCTTTTCTTTTCTTTTTTCTTTTCTTTTCTTTTTTCTTTTCTTTTCTTTACTTTCCCTTCCCTCCCCTCCCCCCTCCCCTCTCCTCCCCTCTTCTTTTCTTTTCTTTTCTTTTCTTTTCTTTTCTTTTCTTTTCTTTTCTTTTCTTTTCTTTTCTTAAACTTGGGTGTCATTGCATCCAAAAGAATGAAATGCCAGGCAGGCAATGCTGAAAGAAGCTCATGTAGGACATCAAATATTCTTTTTTTCCCTTAACAGGTGCTCAGATTTGACCAGATAAAATTAATGACCTGAATGGCAGGCTGCCAGGCCCTTTGCTCCTGAGATTACCATGATCACCATACAACGAAAAAGAAAGATTCTTTAAATGAAGGAAATGGAGCCAGGATGTAGCTAGGTTCCTTTATATCTACTTTCTTTGCAATGACTTACAAGTGAGATTTTTTAAAAATGCAGTTTAATTGCCTGTATTAAAAAGTTGGCATGTTCTCCAAACCATTTAAAAGCCTTATTTTATTTTTTTTATTTTGAGTAAAGTGCAGCAAAGAATAACTCATTTTATCATTTTTAATTTTGAAAGCAAATATTTGATTTATTTAAGCAGAGGAATATATAGCAAGTCTAAAGACTGGAATCCATAATTAAAGCAAAAAGATAAAAAAAAGTGTAATCTTAGTAAATCATTTACTAGAGAGTAGAGACAGAAGGTAGACAGAGAAGGGTAAAGAATTAGTTATTACTAACATTGGTAACTATTTCTTGATTACAAGCCAAGGATTTTGGGATTATTGGAAGAAGCCCTCCAGTTAGCAGACACATGTTCAAATGTCCTCTTTTGTTGAAATACAGATGGAAGCAGAAGAAAGGGCATTAAGTAATATTTTTTTCAATCTACACAGCAAAGGTGAAAAAAAAAACAAAACGAAAGAAAAGAACAAAAAACCCCACAAAACTTACAATGTGTAAGGAACATACCAGAGTTTTCTGCACAGCAAGAAGCAGTTATTTCATCCCTCAGTGATTTAAACTAAGCTGTAGGAAGCAAATAGCACGACATCAAAACACTGCACAGCAGTGAAAGAAGTGACATGTGGCTTTGATAATGAAGTTCATTAACACAGAAAAGAGTGCCTTGGCTGAAGACTGTAAGACCTATTTGTCAGAAACCTGTGTGCTGTTGATAAACAACAACTGATGTGACTTTTCAGTATTTGAGACTGAACTGGGGACAGGAAGGGATGGCAGAGACCAGACTAAAGTCACTTATGTCAATTCAACAGGATGTATTTGTGTCATGAGTTTTTGTTTTCTTTTTTGTACATAGATTACATGGGCAAAGATAGGGCACATCATTATCTACTTTATTATTTTTTTTCTGCTAAGACACACGTTGATGAACCGACTTTTACCTATGTGTTACAAAAATTACAAAACCAAACATGCTTCCTAGTTGAGAGGGAAGATATTGTGTCTTTTCTGATTTGTCATATGAAATCAATGACTTAAAGAAAATACTAAATCCAACGTAATTGGTGATCTGGCTCAATTTGTGGTACACTTGGCTCAAGTATCTGTACTTTCTTACTGTGGTGGTTTTTTGAGTAATGAAGCAACCAGAATTGATAACATGCATCACTGACAATGACATGAGTGTCAACCATGTCTGTGGATGCTGTGTACTAGAACAAAATCATACAGGGAGAGGCTTCTCTGAATTGAAGATGTGCTTTGTCTAGTCACCCCTTGTGACCATGCATGCATGACTCAGTGTAGGATGACTCAAGCATCAGAAGCCATGCCTTAGTGTCAGGATCTCCAATATATTATTGATGTACAGGCTGTGTTGTTACTTGTCTTTATATATACTTTAACGTTAACTCAATTTGTTACTGGGTAAAGGTCATTGTTACTCATGAGTTTGAGTGTCAGCTTGAATTATGGGCTGTGGCAGTGAATGAGCAGGCTACGTTTTGTACTAGGGAAATGATGTTTACCTGTGACTTACAAAGTACCATGTGTTCTCAGGGCACAGCTAACAGAGTGGTTGATAAAAACATCAGAGAAGCAAGGTAAAAGGTAAACATTGCACTTTGCAAATATAACTCAATTTAGCTAGAACAAACCTTTCCACCACCTTGTTACTTTTTTCTTTTCTTTTTTTTTAATTCCATCTTTAATGCAAAACTTTCTCAAATGCCTAGGATGAGAACTTTAGATAATAATCAGTTGTATATAAGACATCTATAAATATATATGTGTAAGTGCAGTTAAAGCAGAGATAGAACATGGACTATACTAACAAACAGGATGTGAAAGTTATAGTGACCATTTTAATAAAGATGTCTAGTAAATTCTGAGAAAAGTAGGAAATGCTAGCGAAATAATCATGACAATACCACCAATGGTAATGTTAAAACAACTCTTTACTTGACAAAAGTTTGGAGTCTTCTGAGACTTCTCTAGCCCTATTTTTATGCTTTCTGATACAAAACAAAATCCTACTAAATTATTTTACTAAGGATCAACTCCAAATTAAATTGTTCCTTCTCTAGTATCCAGGTACCTTCTGCTCATCATTCTGGCCTGTCTTCAGGAAGATCCCTATTCATTTAACCAGAATCTTTTCTTAACAGTTGCTTCCACTAACCCTGTTCCTGTTCAAATAATTCCTATTTTCCATTTGGAATTTACACATGCTCCCTGTCTCAACTTATATTCTACAAACTCAGTTTTAGAGATTGCTGTATTTATTGTGATGACTTGAACAATGTTTTCCTCATCCTTTAAGGAGTGATGAAATTCAAAGTAATCAACAAGAAATTCAATCCAGTCATTGAATCATCTGGCCAGAAATGAAAATATAAGCAAGAGATACCCACCTTCAGGTCAAATGGTCCTGGTTGACTTGGTTGGTTATAAATTTCCAACTGGTTCCTAATAGGATAGAGCCACAGGAGCAGGTGATCTAGCTGCTCTTCAAGCTGCCAAAAATCTTTTACATAAACCTCAAGTTCTCCTTGTTTTTCAGGTAAAGCTCTGGAGACCTGAAAGGGGAAAAAGATAAATAATTCTCATGAAATATATTAAAAATAGCAAAAGTATTTAAAAAGAGATATTCTAGCAATTTGCTGGTCTGTATGTTCAACAATATGTTACAGGTTACATATATGCCATGTTCAAATGTAATTAACATAATAGGAATCACTGAATAATACTCAAAACACTATATATAGTATAGATACTAATGACTTTTTGGAAGTATACAATATACACGTAAGCCAGGTGTGTTGCCTCACATTTATGATACCAAAATATGTTCGACTGAGGCAGGTGAATCGCCATGTGAAGGAAGCTAACCTGGTATACAGGGCAAGTTCAAGGGTAGCCAGAGGTATACAATGAGACTCAGTATCAAAACACACACACACACACACACACACACACGCACACGCACACGCACACGCACACGCACACGCACACACACACATAAAAATAAATAGCTTACTTACACTTACTCAGATGCATACTTCAATTAGTTGATGTCAAGGGACACATTCCTAATATAAACTCTCATTTGCTAAGTGTGTATGCCAAGAACAGAGCCTTTGCAGTATTACAGACATGCCTCAAATTATTGAGGATTAGTACTATGTATATAACTTAGTCTTCCCCCATGTAAGTGTAATTTATACTAGCAGAATATAATGAAATTAAAGCCAAAGAAAAGTATATTTTTTTTGGTGTAGCAATAATTTTTTCTCCTATATTTGCCTTTAGTTTGTATTTAATGAAAATTATGCAGAGAAATAATTTACTTACAAGGAAAATTATAAGCATTTTGTGATCTGTAGTTTGTGAGGCATAATTAAATAAGTGAAGCAGACATTGAGGAACATGACATTTGGTTGAGAGAAAATTAACACAATAACTACTGGCTATTTTTATGAAGGGCTTAGTATATACTAAGCACCATGGTTGGAAGTCTCAAATTCATTGTTGCTTTTAATCTCCCATGACCACTTCATATTGCTCCTGTTAGCATCTAAATTTTAATCACAGATAACATTGGACTTGGCAGATGCCAAGTAATGTTGGAAGCGATATGCTATAGGGTAAAACACTGTTGGAGCTAATATTAGTTACTTAGATTTAAAGCCTGGTTTGTGCTTTTGTGTAAATCCTAGTCCAGTTTTCCCCAACTTGCAATGCCTCTTTCATAACATGGAGATAGTGCAGATACACTGTTGATCTAAGAACTAAATAAAGTAATCCTTAAAAATTGCTTAGAACAATTCTCTGTATAACAATGAAAGACAATACAACAGTTAAATATTAGTAACAGTTGTTCAAACTCTTGGGCAAACAGAAAGCCAGGATTAACAATAGAGAAGCTATTTTCTTCATAATATCAAAAATTAAAACTAATATAAATGAATAGTATCAGTTTATAATGGTAACCCATGTAATATTTTGACATTCCTCTTATAGTACAAATGTGGTATTACAGTGTAAATTACTAACTGTATCATGATCATTGAGAAAATGTTATCATATTATGAGTAATGTAGAACATACTAGGGAAAGAACATAGGTAAATTTATTATTGTCCTAGTGTCTATTGCAATAGATAAATATGTTAGTAGATTAAGCAATGCTACTTGCTTTATAACTATTTATAAATTGTAAAGGACTCACAAGGAGCACTATTATAATCTTGTAGTTGAACCTCAACAGATGTGATGAACACATCGGTTGAGCACATCTGTCTGAACACAGACACATTAAACAATTAACTATTCTGTGTTGGGGAGAAATGCTATACAAGGTCATACTACATGCAAATTATGTGTATGGAAACAGAATGCAAATTACTTTATATACAAACCATGTAAAATGTATGTGACTACTTGAACAAAGAGTTAACATCCTACTCTGAAACAGGCAATACTGAGAGATTGAAATTAGGCTCCATATTAAGATGAAGAAGCTCTTAGGATCTGGCCTGATCCATGGCAATATCAATAGAAGATATTGGGCCTGGATTTGTTTTATTCAACTCCACCTAGACTGATGGAGCAGAGAGTTGAAACAAAGACCTCAAGTTTATTTGGTCTAAATGGTGTACAAGACTGATGGATAACTTTACAGAATGTATCTTGATCAAATAATAAATTAAGAAGAGAAAATAAGTAAAATTTAACAATTCAGAATCTGTGATCAAAATATCACAGTTCTATGTAACAATGTCATCGTGTGACCAGTTTTCTTTTTCTTTGACAAAGATTTTGGTGTCTCCACATAGAAAATGATCATGGATTTTGTTAGTTTAGATTTTTAACAAAGTATTAAAGGACAAAGAAGGAAAGAGTGATAGAAATGGATGCAACAGCTTTTGTGGAAATTGTTCTCCACACCTTGATCTTCACTCTTGGCAGCCATTCCTTCTGGGGTAAGGAGACAGAAGCTTTCAGTTCAGGCTTAAATCACAGTGCTTTTCCTGCTTTTCCTGACTTATAGCTTGTTATAGAGCCACATAATCTTTGTTTTAAATGACTTAGGTCTATGTTCATAGGTTCACACCCATAGTTCTGAGTTTTATGTGCATTCCTGTGCATATACGTATATGTGCAGGAAAGAGATTATACTAGAATAGTAAATCTGTACTTGAGATGCATTATTGAATAAAGCATTTTGCATATTTTTCTATCATTTAAATTAAATGTTTTATTTCTATTGAATGGCTTGCTACTCACAAAGACATGCTCCAAGCATTTTAAAGCTTAAACTAGCATCATCTGAGAGCCTGCAGATGCTGAAGTAGCTGGAGATAATCTCCATTGTATTTTCCTAATCTCTCTAAAACAGAAGTATGGAGTTGTTTTTATCTGATCACAAAATATTTCATATTTTATGCAAGTACCACATGTAAAATCATTGTTTGTTAGATTGTTTTTTCAAGAAATATCTTTATTTGGTCAATTTTCTTTTGGTTTGTTTGCCTTTTATTTGTTCATTTTCAGAAGCTCTTTTTTTAATTAATTAATTTTAAATTCACTTTATGTCCTGATCATAGCCTCCTTCTTCCTCTCTTTCCAGTCCACGCTCACAAATCCCTCTTCACATTGGTCCTCTACTTCTCTACCATACATAATTTCCAAAATTCATATAATATTGAATTAAGATTATTGATTTTGTTCTCATCTTTATAGCACATTTCTCCATAGTTATAAATGTGGAATAAGTCCTGAAAGAAATAGTACAAAGAAGAAGATTTGACCTAATTTCAAGTAATGGCATGGAAGTTTTGCCAAGAGTAAGATTTCAGCCTAATTATGTGGTTTTAGGTATGTCCTTCTAGACCTTTACTTTCTACCATCATAATGTTTACTTCTGAGTATTGGAAAAGTTATGCACATGACCTCCCTTTCTGAATTTTTATTTCTGGAGGAGATATGTTCCTACACTTTATAGACCTTCATCAAATACTTGCCGAACTAACAGAAATTTCCAAGTTTCATAATAATTTGTTAATTTATTCTGTCCTGGAAATATGTCTAGAGAAGTTAATTATGTATGAATGTATAGTGATTGGTATCAAAGTTATAAATATATACAAAGCTACAAAATTATAAATCTTTATATATCAAGTTATAGATCTTTAATTAATAGATAAGCATGATAAAGCATAACATCAGAATTTTCAACATGATCAAGAAAGCCATAAGCAATGTCAAAGGAGAAAGGATAAGCTGTGAAAAAATATTGGAGACTCACATCTCAGTTAAGAGTTCAATTTGCCTAGCACATAAAAGAACTTCTTCATCCCAAGAAGACCCACAGAGACAAATAACTTGGGACCATGGGGGCTCACAGAGCCTGGACTACCAACCAGGGACCATGGAGGATCTGGTCTTAGATTCCATACAGGGTTGTAGCAAATCACAGCAAATTGTGGCAATATTTTTCTGTTTTTAAATCATTAATTTTGATATCTAATATTTCACATACTAGATTCACATTTTTACACAGTCTAATACTATACTTCTCATGTATGTTCCCTGTGGTGAATGGAAACAAATACATTCAGTTATCTTATATCATACGTGTCTACCCGATTCTTGACATACTTTCAAACAAGATTAATTTTCTTGTTCTCTGTTTTTCTGATTGCTAATTCCAAACACTTGTAAGTTTTAATATTAAGGTAAACAGAGGCATCCGTCTTAGAAATAAATAAATAAATAAATAAATAAATAAATAAAACCTCATACTTTACACAAAATAGACAGGAAAGCTAAAATTTTGTCTATAGAAAGATAGATCAGAACGAGAAGAAGTATTATAGAAAATGGAACATAGCTGTTATCTTGAAACCAAAGCTAGTAAGCAAAAATTAGATGGGAACATCTGGAGTATCTATTAGCAAACAAAAGATCTGAGTATATTGTATAGAAAGATTATCCAGTGAAAGAAACAGGAAACTGGATCAACTGGAAAATGATTAAAAAACATAAATAAGCAACAAAAAGGACAAACTCCAAATACTACACAATCAATGAAATGCAAACTAAAGCAACAATGTCACTCTATTAATTATGTAATATACTGACTTCTGGGAAAAGATTTATCAAATGTCCCTGCCCCAAATGAGTAACCTTATGTTATTTGTTTAAGTATATATTCTCATAGTCTATAAAATAACTTAATAGTTCACACAAAAAAGGAAGATTTTTTTTTACCCTGAAAAGCATGAACAGTCCTGAGAGCTTAAGAAAACCAACCAAAAGAAATAGAGGAATATGCTTTTTCATGGACTATACAGTCTAATTTTGTAACAAATTAATTTTCTTCAAATAATGTATAAACTCAATCTGAGAACAATAAAAATTGTGGGTTCAAGTTTTATACAGAAATTAGGAAGGTATTTTTAATATATAGATTACAAATACCATATATTCAAGGAAATTTTGATAATAAACACATTTTTAAAAATTTTGCAACCAGGTGTCACCTTTGCTATAATTACATGTGTGGTATTCTTGAT